TCGCTTCACCACAATCATATTTTCATCTCATTTTTTTGATGTAGTACATTAACATTATTTATAAATGATGGATTAAATAATTTTCAATGCTATGTTTAATTTGAAAATTAATATAAGGAAATATTTTCTCTCCCCCAATTATCTAAAAATAATTATTCCATGTTAAATAGTCTATATCTCCATACCACGATCATACTTTTTTCTCATTTTTTAGTTGTAATAAATTAACATTATTTAAAAAATGGTGGTTTGAAAAAAAATTTCAATATTATGCTTAATGGAATAATAATATATGATAATAAATTCTCTCTCATGAATAATTCAAAAATAATATTTTACCATATTTTAACGTAATATTTTCACTAAATAATTTATAAATAACTAAGAATAGTTATAAAATGAATTCCCATAACATTTTTATTATTTTTTATTCAAACATGTGTTTACTAGTCACATATGTGTTCTAGGTAAACTAATTTGACCAATTATGAGATAATTGCATGACTTCATATGTTCTTCTATAACAAGTTTATTCTGATTGTTTTGTCTAAAGTTTTTGCAAAATATTTTAGTTTATGTGCTTATCTAAGTGTATTAAACCTTTGAGAATTTATTTATATTATTTTCATATTTTATTTTTACTTTTTTCTTGAACCCAATTTTACAAAATCTATCCAAATTTAGTATGTAGAGGCTAAATTTCACCAATTATATTTTATTTCATTTAGCATAGTATGGTTCTAAATATTTATCCATGTGTATTAAATCTTTATAATTTCATTAAATTTTTTCCTATTTTATTTTTTATTTTTTCCTTGAACTAAATCATGTAATATTTGTCCAAATTCTATATTTTTATAGGATCCAAATTTCACTATGTTTGGCCAGATCAAATCATTCCCTAAGTACACAAATTCTCTTAGAAACCTTTCTAATTCCATTATACTTCATTCCAATGGCTTAATCTCTTGAAATCAAGCACATGGGAGTTAAATTAGACTTGGTCAAACATTCACACAACGCATGTCCAAATAATTGTCATTAATTTTCCTTATTTTTTTCTAATGTGTTTCCCTCCTTTGAAGCTATCCTTGTAGCCTCATTAAAGTTCAAAAATAAATTTAAATCTTTTGTAAAATTTGTCCGGCTAAAATTCACCTTTTCTTAAATCATTTCAAATTTTTTTACTACTCATCCCCCTCAAAATAACAGTGTCTTTGTCGAATTTTAAAAGGAGGTAGAGTGTTTTTGTATTATCTTTTTAGTGCAACTCTCTTTTCCTGTATCTTTGGCCAAAAATTTCAAGTCCTTATCAAGTAAAACTTCTTTAGTAGGAGAAAGGTATGAAACTTCTTTGGTTTGCAAAAATCTAATTTTTTGTTGTTCTTGCTTTTGGCAATATTTTTATTTGGAGGAGATTGCTTGGAGAAATATTTTTAAACCTTTGGTTCCTCAATTTCACATCAAAGCTTTATTCTCCAATTATTTCTTCATGTTTACCAAGATGATTCTAGAGTTTGCAGCATAATATAATAAGTGATTTAAAAGTTTTTTCTTGATAGCATACCTAGTGAGTTTCAAATCCTAATTAAGAATATGTATGATTGTTTAATCAACATTAAAAGTGAAAGCTCTTGAAATCTTTAGTGTTGGAAAGAGTATATTTATGTTTCAATTGTTGTATGTTTGGTTTATTATGAATTTCATGTAAGCACTCACCACAAAAACTTGACATATCAACTAGAGTTCTTATTGTATTTATCTTGTTAATTAATTTTTTCTTGGGTTGAGTGAAAATCTTTTAAAAATTAAGAGTGAGTGAGATTATTTGAATGTACATTTTTTTTTTTATTTTACTATCTCATTATATTTAGGGTCAAGCTTCCCCAATGTAGGAAAACTTGGTATTTGGGGTTGTGCTTGCCTAGTATAAGAGAGCAAAGTGTTTAGGGTTGTACTTGTTTGATGTTGGAGAGTACGATGGATTGGTTGTAATCTTCTTCTGATTAGTGAAATTCCTAGTCAGTGGTAGCTAGGGGTGGACTTAGGCCAGTTTTGTGGTTGGTCGAACTGGTCGAACTACATATAACTCTTTTATTACTTGTATTTTCTTTCCACAATATTTTATGTGCTTGATTACTTTTATTTGCTTTTATTAACAGTATTGAAGAATTTTTAATTTTTAATTTTCTACAAAATTAAAAACCTATGAATTTTGAATTAATAAAAAAATGGATAAATTATTTTACACAATTCACCCCCTTTTAGGTGTCATATCATATATCAGACATCGCAAAGTGGCACTTCAATGTTGCAAATGTAACAATGTGGAGCTCAATAGTCAGATTGTAGTGCCACACTCAAGTTTTGCTAGCTCTAACTCCATCATATGATGGCTTTGTGGATGTAGTGTTACAATGTTTGAATGATAGCACCTTGACACAATAAAGTGATGTTGTGAAACAAAGGACTTGGTTAGCTAAATTGAATTTAGAGCTTCTAAAATTGCTAATTTTCTTGTCTAACAAGACGACACTACATGCATATTTGCTCTATTTTCTCCAACTTCTTATCACACTAAAACAACCTTATGAAATTTTGGACACTTAACATTCAATAGACCTCAACAAGTTCTATACATTCTACATTCCTAGAACTAAAATTAAAGCCTATTAATGCCTAGACTTAGCAATAACAAATTTTAATATTAGAGATGTTTAAGAAGATATGACCATCAAGGAGGAGTTATTATGGATAATATATTTTGACGAAACATCAATTGATCAAGGTGTACGAGTCTACACAATCCTCAAAAGCCCAAACAATGTCATTTTAACAAACACATTCAAAAATAATTTTCTAATCACTAACAATCAAGTTGAGTATGAATCTTTGGTTACAACTTGAGATTCACTACTATAGTTGGTGCCAACAATTAAATGTGTACTTAAACTCAAAACTAAATTTCAATTAATTGAATAAATTATAAAAATAAAAAAAAAACACCTTACAAAGATATCATCTTAAAGCATAGTAAAATATTAGTAGATATGAATACTTCAAAATCAATAAATAATAAAGGTTAAAATTAACTTGTTAATTTGTTATTTAAAACTAGAAATTTAGATGGTTGACATGCATTAGAGCTTGCATGTCCTGTTATTGATGAGGAATACATCATAGAAGTCGACCTCCGAGGTAAGTTTAGCTAGGTTAACTTCTTTGATTACAAAAAAAAAAGTATCATCGATCTAAATGTTAATGATATAATTCAATTAAAATAATTGTGACAATCGACTTTATTGTGACACAAGAAGTGTAAAATCTTTTCACAGATATGTTCAAAGTAGAAAGCTACATACAAAAAAGAACAATTCAAGTAGATAAGTTCCAAAGAGTTAATGATAGTATAATAAATTGAATCATAATTAAACTATGATAAAAACAGCTTTGAACCATGATTGAACCATGAACTCTTGCTTAAACTAAGATTGAACTATGGTTGAATCAAGATCAATTCAATTTCAAATATAACTGAGTCATTCCTAAATCAAGATCAAACATTATGTGAAACATGTTCATATATTATTCAAATCTTATTTAAAAGTTTGAAAAAGAGTGAAAGGTGACTAAAGCATGTTAAAAAATGATTTAATCGCGATAAAAAATGATTTGATCATTGTTTGATTGTAATTTAAAGATGTCTTGAAGATATTGTAAGTTAGTGCAATCATGGTTCACTCATGGTTTATTCATTCTAATCATTTTCAAAGATGCTCAATTATAGTTCAATTATGATTCATACATGGTTCAAAAGATGCTCAATTATAGTTCAATTATGATTCATCATGGTTCAAAAGTGGGTTGATGATGGTTTACCAAGTAAAATGGTTCAAAAGTGGGTTGATGATGGTTTACCAAGTTTATGACATATATTGTTATGACTACTAAACCTTTAAGTTTATGTTTTAGATTGAACAATATATTTAATATTAATTAACAAAAACATATAAAACAATAAGCTTGAATATTGTTGCTTGAAGAAAAACACTCTACAGTAGTCTACGTGCAAAAATGTTGCAAAGAGAAAGAGTAGAGCAGCTCATGATTAAAAATTACATAACTATTTAGTGAGGGCTTAAACTTCTATTTATAATAGACAATTCTTTTTTATTGTGTTTAAAATAAGCTTTTAGGCATTTTTTTCGAATGAAAAAAAAAACAAGCATATTTTTCGAATGATCTCAATTATAAGGTATGTAAGCCAATTTGTCCTTTTCTAATATCAACAAAATTTTCTTTTTTTTCTTCTTTGGATACTTTTTTTATTGAGTTATCATGTAGAACACTAGTATAATATGAGAACATATAATTTTTGGGGCATTTACATACACACCAACCCAATTCTTATGCTCACATGCCGAATACTAAAGTTTGCTTTTTTACACTTATTCCACTCAACTCTTTCATTTCACATAAAAATATCCCTATTCTAAATGTTATATTTTTAAATACACCTTTCCATATATAGGTAAGGTGGCATATACATTAAAAAATTAAGTTTAGGTATTAGATATGTAAATAAGAATTAAGTGATGGTGTATAAATCTTTCATAATAATTTTAAAATTAAGTTCACATAATATTTTCACACAACTCTTTTCAAAAAATGTTTAATACATATTTTAAATATAATAATTCAATTGCACAAAATTACAAGTTAATCCTATTAATCGGTTGATAATTGATAATTTTTATCAAGCAAGTGCAACTGTAATGAACTCTAATATAAAATAATTACCTTATTCACTAGATAATAAGTAAAATGAAATATAAAACAGTATTATTAAATTGGGCTATGAAATTTAGAAGTTTCTCATGTCTTATCTAGATAAAACGGCCACGGTTGCATCGACTGTGTCAATTATATGCTTAGATAATGTTTTTCTTTCACAAATAAAGGGGTTCCACGGTCCGGGCATTGGTCGGCCATTGTTCCTGCGGGGGGAATCTGTTAGGTCCAACAGCTACCAGTGGAGTTATTGTTGGGTATGGAGTGTAATTATTTCCTGCACTATTATCTATAATCAAATATCAAAAATACAATGCAGCTTCCATATCTACTTTTTTGCACCTAATAATTTTTTTTTATTGGGCACCAATCACATTAGATAGGATTGTATGGTAATGGATTTAGAGCGGCATTTAATCTGAATGTACGTTAAATATTGTCAAATAATCATTTTTTGATAGAATAAAATTATGAATTTTATAATTTAACTTTCACAATTTTCGATCGTAAATTTTTGATTTACTAATCGATGAATTTACGAAATTTATAAAATTAAAAAATTAATGAGATTTATTTGAATGTAGGCAAAAAAATTTTAAATAATTTTAATAGATTTTTGAAATTTATGAGATTTTAGTTTCAGATAACTTTTAGAATTTAACTCATTAAAATTTAATAAATCGAGATTTTATAGGATTTACTGAATTCTGATAACTTAAATTCCATCTTTGCTTTGCCAGGCAGCACCGGTCCTATTTTTCTTTCCATCAACTTCCCACAGCCATCCGGACGCTTCATGTCGCACGGCGAGGACGGCGGTTGCGTGGTCGTGACTGAAAGTAATTCACCTGAATGGCCGGAAAATCTGGAATACATGACCGGATTCGGGAACCACTTTTCATCTGAAGCACTTCCTGGCGCTTTGCCAGAGGGACAGAACAACCCCCTTTTCTGCCCCTTTGGGCTTTACGCTGAGCAGATCTCCGGCACGTCCTTCACTTCCCCACGGCTCCTAAATCAGAGGAGGTTAACACTTGGCTAAAACTTATCTTCCTTTCTTTTCTTGTCGAGCTTGATGATGAGTTATTGACGCTTCTTCCCGACAGAGATTGGTTTCTGAGTGTTTGGTGTGTCTATCCTTCGCAGGAGTCGTTCTATTGTTCTCTTCTTTTAACTTCATATCCGTTTTCTCGAGTTTTTATGAGTTTTTACGTACCAATCTTTCAAAATTTTGATCTAAATTTAAAATTTATCTTTCAATCACCCTTTTTTTTTTACTTTCTTATATGTTAAATTTTGAATAATTTATGGGCGGTTGAAATGTAAAATTTTAAATTTACTCAATCCATTGTTTCTAAATTTCTGAATGATTGAGATATAAAAACCCTCTTTTTATTAATTTGCGAAGTCAGGGGCGGAACTCACTTTGTGGGTTTGATTTTGGACAATTGAATTGAAAGAGATGCTTTGTTTGCCTTGTGGTTGTAAAAAGGTGCCGGCTGATTTTAAATATTACTTGGAATAATATTTTTTTCATATTACATTATTGATTTCCCTGTCTTTTCTGCAGCTGGTTGTATCGGATAAGGCCGTCCGTTACACATGAGCCGTTTCAGGCACGTAAGCCTCGCCATGATAAAATACTCAGCGAGTTTAATCAGGATAATTGTTCTTTCACGCCTAATCAGCTGAGGTGGAGGCCTGCTGATTTTCCTGAATCCCCCACTGATTTCATCGATGGGATCTATACCATGTGCGGTGCGGGAAGCTCCTTTCTTCGGCATGGCTTTGCTATTCACATGTAAGGCTTGAGTCGTCAGAGTTTATTTATGCTTGAAATGTTATCCTTCTGTCTATTTTGAAGCATCTCAATTTTTTTTTATTTAATTTTTTGTTATCTAGTCTATGCTGGCGAATATTAATATTTTGGAATCTTTTAGTGATTTTATTTTATGTGTTGTCTATTTGCTAAACAAATATTCAAACAGTAAGTTTGGTTTCAGCTTATTTGTTCCATGTTGGAAAGATAGCTTTTACTCCTACTTGGCAATCATGTTCACGTTTAGGGTTATCACTGTAGATAGGGCCTCCACTTCTTAAGGGCCAAGGCAATAGCAATCAACTTCCACTCGTGCATTGACTTGAGCCTCGCCTTTGCTTTGAGCACCTGGTTGAAGTAGGCAATCAACCACTAGTCCTGCATGAGTACTGCTCCCAATCTCTACCCTAACGCATCTGTTTCTAACACAAATGGTTTATTGAAATCTAAAAGTGTTAATGCCAGAACACTGGTCATAGCTCTCTCAAATGTTTGAATGTACGTGTTGCCACTTCACCCCACTTGATTTGTCTTCCTTCAACCGTTTCATTAGTAGCCAGGCTACAGTGTTTTACCTCTCAAGAATTTTCGGTAGTATCCGATAAGACTCAGGAATTCCCTCAACTCTATCAAACTCTTTGGTAAACTCGATTGTGGGCTTCTCTGCTACTCCAGTCCTGGTCTATCCCCTCATATTCATAGTGTGATTTAAAATATCCGTACACTAAATTTAGGGACACCTCTGTGACATTCAAGTGCAAATACTCTTCCTTTATTGTGTCTTCCTTCGACTCCTCACTATCGGTCCCCTCCTTCTCTTGGACTACAAGAATATGAAGCACGTTCCTTGCAATGGTGGTCTTTGGCATATTTCTCGTCACACTGGAAATATAATTATTTTGCTCTTTTATCACGCACTTTTGCATCGGTGAGACACTAAAAATTGCCCCCAAAGATGGGTCTCCACACTCTTTTCCTTGGCGTCTCCTGAAATTTCTTCGTCTGGGTCCTCAGTATCATGGTCGTTGAGGCACTCCTGTAGAATTCTCCGGTGGTGCTGCCTTTGTTGGTTTTCTTCATCTGTTTCTTGATTTGCACCATCTGAGCAAGCTCCATTTAATCCCCGAGGTCTCAAAGGTCTAAGGGCTGCTTGAATGTCAGGCTTTAGGTTCTTCATAAAGATCCCCTTAAGTAATGAAGCAGAGACACCTCTTAGTAGCCCTGACAAGGGCTCGAACCTCTCTCTGTATTCCATGACTGTCCCCTCATAAGTGAAAGCATAGAATTACTACTGTTAGTCTCATTCTGGAATAGTTTGAAAACGGTTCGAACAATTAATCCTTAAACTCCTCCTATAAATGTATTGAATACCTCTTCTCCATCCACTGATATTATGCTAGGCCCTTTTCCTCCAAATATAACATTATTATCATAAGTTTCTCTTCCCTAGTCAGCCCATTTACTGCAAAGTATTGCTCTACTCGATACAACCACTCATGTGCATCTTCTTCTTCGAAGATTGACATCTTCAGCTTTCTTACTCTCGCATCGCCACTCTAACTTCCTCTTCCTCCTCCAACGTTTACCCCCATGTATCTAGGGTGAAACTCCCTCATTTGGTCGTAGCCATACCCCACTTCCGCTTCTCTCATTCCTTCGTCGTGCTCTTCCGTGCCCCTTGCACTACCCCTCTGACCTTCAACCCAACCCATTCAATCGGACGTTTCCACTCCCCTTCTCTCAGAGTCTAATGGGGAAGCTCTTGATGATAGATGTTTTCCTTCTCGTTGTCCTCTCGTTCGATTTCCTTCCCTTTCAATTTGGCCAAAGATTCTCTGATTAACTCTTGGTTCGAGTTTGCAATTTGAGATGTCGACAGGGTTTTCGATTGCAGCTCGATAAGCCTCTTCATCATCTCTCGAACTTCTTCTATACTCTCGAATCAATTTTCCATTTTGTTTTTCATGGAAGAAAACATCTTCTCTATGATGGCATATCTTTCTTCCATTCCTGGTCTGATTTTCTTTACTTTGCCTCCTGACACTTTCACTTTCTTTGTCGCCATTCCTCCAAGATCTCACTCTAATACCAATTTGATATAATATGGAATTAAAAACATGTAACAGACAACGAATAAATTTTCTAATAAATCTCACTCTAATGCCAATCTAATACTCTCTAATACAATAGAGGGTTGGGGAAACTCAGATGAGGGTTGATTTTGAAAGGAAGCAAACATGATGCAATGTTGATCTACTGATTGAGAGATAGATCATCTCTCCACAAACCCTTGACGCTACTAGAATCACCACTAGAATAGAAAAACTGCAGTCAAACAAAACATAACAACAATTCCTAGTCAATTATCCCTCAAAAATACTCTCCAGGCCCCCTTTCAAACTTTTTCCCTCAAAACCCCCTTGATTTCTCTCTTGTACATTATTAGCGATTTTGTGGGCCCTACGTGGGCACTGCAATTGTCGTTAGCCACTCCTTGGTATTCTATCCCCAAGACTGGGCCTGCTGGCATGGCTATACCTCCAGCTAGGCTTGCTGGGCAGGTCGGTTCAGATCGATCCTCCCTAGACCGGTTCGTCTGCAGGGCTGAAGATCCCATTGGTTCTTCCGTCTGCAAGAATCAGAGAAGGTGTATGAAAAAACTACAGAGCTTGGCTTCACCTTGTCATATTTTAGTGTTGTTGCACTACCTTATAATTATTATATCATTATAAAAGCAATTTCAACGTTGGTGAATGCATAAAGGATTTGAAACTTGAGAGCTTGACACTGTAATGCTACATAAGAGCGTCACAACACTACGTCAGCATCATTGGAGCGTTAGTTCGATGCACTGGAATGCGACGACCTAATAAGATAGTTCTGAAGCGGTTTCAAAGCAGGGAGTTGTTCTTTCATGCAGTATTGTTGAGCAGCTTCTGAGTGATTAGGCAGTGGAGACACTGGGTGATAAGTTAAGTAGTGTGTAAAGTGAAACAATACCTAGTGACTTTTGCAGAGAGGAATGGTGAGTGTGCGTGAAGCAGGTGGATGGTCATTGAGCAAAAGCAGACGAGAAGAAGATTCATTTTGAAAGGCCAGATATAATTTTATCTCACGATCATGCGTAATGTTTTTGTGTTTTATTCTCAGAATCTTATTGTTCTAACAAACATGTGTAGGAACTAAGTGTTGATTCTTTAGATTTATGAAATATTCGAAGTATTTGTGTGAAGTTTTTTGAATGATATGAATGAAAATTTAATGTTGTCATATTTCACTTTAATCTTTATTGAAAATTATTTTGTTTAAATATATTTTCAAATTTAGTGTGATCTTATGATTTCGACAGAAATCAAGTGAACGAATTAGGGTAAAACATTCGGGTATTCAAATGCATAGATAGATAGATCTTAAAAAATTTTTATTTTATGAGAAATATTTTTAGTTGCCATCAATTGCAATAGTTGGGAAAAAGACATCCTTAAGTTTTTAAAGAATTATTAGACTCTCTCACTATCAAATAAGATTAATTAATCAAAAATTTTTTATTACCATTAAAATTAAAATTAAAAAAAACTTCAAGCACATTAAAAAAAACTTCAAGCACATTTTTACATAGTCATTTTTAATCTTTAAAATTTTAGTTATTTTCCTTATAGACAGCTAAATTTTATCTTAGAAGTTTTTCTCTCTTTGATTTGACTGTTATATAAAATTTAAATGAATAAAATTAGTACTTAAAAAAATAATAAATTGATCCTCATGGCAGTGATATCCTATTCATCACTTTATTACTTGAAACAACATATGCGCATGTATTTACCGTATAAGTCAGCCAACCTTCCTCTCTTTTGTGTTTGGGGGGCAAATCCACATTTGGTAAGAAGAACTCGGTGCCTTCTCTACTAATGATGTACCTTTTGTAATGATGAGTGCTCATGCATGAATTAATAGGCTTGCTTCATGCTGGCTTGTCATTATAGGAAGTTGTATCACCGACTTGCTAGCTTTGGAAGGAGACCTTTTGTAGGGACTATTGCATATGTCAAGCTGCTTAGAAAAAGGTTAGACATTGAGTGTTGAATTATTTGAGACCCTTAAAGTGGCAAGTGAGCAGTATAGTAAGTATTTTGAGGAATTGTAGGCATACCTCACCAATGAGAAAGAACTCGTCAAGCAAATTAAAGAGTATAAGGCAAAAGAAGCTTAATGGAAGTATTTGAGACCCTTAAAGTGGTGAGTGAGTAGGAGAGGAAGTACTTTGAGGAATTGTAGGCATATATCATCAAGGAGAAGGAACTTGTCAAGCAAATGAGAGTATAAGGCATAAGAAGCTTAATGGGACAAGGATTTCATAGTATGGTCATATGAGGAGAAGATAAACTTCAAAATATTTGTGGAATATATGATGCCCTCAATATGCAATGAATCATTGAGAAGCATGATGACGACATCGATTATTGTCTTGAGAAGTTGGTGCTTTGCTACGGCATGCTAACAAATATAAAGATAGAGCTACTTTTAAAATTGATGGTAGACAAGTCTTTTGAGGTCGAGTGGAATGGGGGTGAGTGTGATTAAACGCCCGAGTTTTCTTTCCTTGGATGTTTTTAGCAAAAACTAAAAATAAAATAAAAAAGTAAAAAAATAAAAAACAATGAATGAACTTTTTAGATATACTTATTTTTTCACCATCTTCTTTCTGGGTTTATTTTGTTACTGAGCCGAGTAATCCTCCAAGCTATTGAGTAAATGTCTAAACTTCTTGAGTTTTGGATGTTTTGGTGTGTAAATGTCAGAGGATGTAAAATGATTATTCCAATAAACTCATGCTCGATCTTCCTCTCTTATGCAATTTTTTAGAAGTTGTTAGATAGGCCTCATCTCTCATTAGAACGTAATTTTTACGTGAAGAACTGTTTAGATTTGCTAAATAAAATTGGCTCGCTTACTACTCCATGCAAATCATGATTGCAAAGAGGGGAGTCAAATTCTATGACTGGAATTTTCAAAATATGTAAGAGGATTTTGAAGGTTTGATTCTTCAAGTCTGACGAGTAAGTAGAGGCAATTTGATATCATCCCTGAAAATAGGTTGATATTTGTAAAGCAAAACTTTATTTTTGAGAGAGAGTCTTTGCATGTTAGATACACCATTATATATCCTATCTTTGAGAGTGACTCAAGAGATAAAAAGGGCAACATCGCGAAATATAGACAAATTTATTTGCCTAGAAGTTTTTTATCACCTACTGGCCTTGTCTTTTTATGCTTGGCCCCGATCTAAGACCACTTAGATTCCTAAGCTTAACTTATTCTCCGTCGTTTTACTGTTGCTCTGGTACTTTTCTTTTAGTTTTAAGTTTTTCAATATTGTTCTTCACACTCTCTTTGGTATGAGTCTGGCTTACCCCGAAGTCGGGCACATCTGTCAAGATCAAATTTTTTTTAGCATTTGCTATTTTCTTTTGATGGAATTTTTGGGACTCATCAAGAAGTGGCATGTTCCACAAGTATGCTTTCGGGGAGGAGGTGAGTTTCTTGAATGTGATCAATAATGAAGGGTGAGTTCCTAAAATTGTTGGTATTTGATATGACATTCCCTTACATTAATCATTCATTGGACTCGCAAAAAGGTTTTCTCCTCACGCCTTTAATGAGAAACTTTTTCGTTGACCTCCCATAAATTGTATTACAAGATAAAATTAACTTCTTCTTTGACCTGTCCTATACTGTATTACAAGATAAAATTTAAAAGAAAAAGGTGATTTTTTTCTCATGGACAGAAGACCTTTAGGTCATTTTCAATCTTGGTTCTTGGTACTTCACCCCTTTGTATGCATGTAGTTGATAAAACTTAGGGCTGACTTCCTATTTTTTGCAACTCTTGCGTAAGGACAGCTTGTGCCACTACAGATTCTTTACTCTCAACTTCTCTCTTGGAATGTCACCGTGAAGCTTTTGAAAGTCTTGTCAGATTTCTGTCTCATCTTCGGAAGCATCTGTGAGCTCTATAAAGGCCTTTGGGCATTGGTGAGTTGGGTAACAAATACTTTTTTGAATTTAGTGAAGTGATGACTTTACTGTAAACCACTTAAGGGATTATTATTTGAATGTGTCGATATTGAAAATTCAAAGTAGGCTAAATGATCAATTGGTTCCATCTTTTCTCTGCACAAATTTGGTGTTCTATCGTGAATTTCATCGAAGTCTTGGCTTTTGCAATCTTCTTGCATGCGGCATTGTCTGCTTGGTCATCTGCCTTTCAACTTATCTAGGCGAAGGTGTGGACTCCTTATCATTGCCAAGGTGGTGAGCCTTGTCCATAACAATGTAGTTGTTTGTCATCTAATGCCTGAGGGATGCCTTCACATATTTGAATCTAGAGAGCTTTCTGGTGCCTCTCCTCTTGGGACTTCTCTTGGAACACCATCTGAAGCTGTTTGCATCATCCTTGTAATTCTCTTATTCATCTTTATAAGTTGTTTATTGATAACAAACTTTTTATTTTTCACTTTCAAGGGTGTTTATTTATGAGGGTGTCATTCCAAATATGTAATTAGAAAAACCCAAATGCTGCTACCCATAAGATTTTACTAATGCTCTTATTAACAGAAAGAAGAATAAAAGGAAAGAGAGAAACTTTGAGGTATCTTATTATCCACTCTAATGCTAAGAGTATGCATATATCATTTGTCATAATGCATCTTTGACCTCATATTTATAGGTTTTTGTGCACTACAGAAGAAAATAAAGTTTAATCTAATAAAAGAAATAAATAGACATGTGGACATAATGATCGGCATCCTATTTCTGAATCGCTGTCTTGGCAAGTACTTTCAAGATTTTTTTGCATGAATGTATGGAGTCACACCTTTGAATAAGGGGATATACTTTTTTCCATAGATGAGTTCAAGCTGTGGCATGACCTCTCTGAGCATTGGTGAGTGCTCTTCAATTTTGAGCTAGACTTTGAGGGCTTTGAGCTTTGATACCTAATACCTAATCTATTAAGCTTTATCTCAAACTTTATATTTGGGAATACATTTAAAATATAAGAAATATCATTTTGTATTCATAGGCTTGGAGTTTAATTTAATGGTTCTATTATTTCATTTTATGTTATTTTGTTTAAATTAATAGACATGTTGGTTTTACCAAAATCTTCCCCTTGGGCATAATCTGCATCCCTACTTTCTTTTTGCAAATTAAAAAACATTTTTGGTAGTATTATCTATGCGATTAAAATTTTCAAACTTCTTTAGGAAAATAACTTGAAAACTAATTTAACAAATAAACATAAAAAAAGGATCTAAAAATGGTGAGGGGCTGCTATTATGTTTTTGGTTGCCATGCAGGCAACTGCATGGTACTCTGTTGGCAGCCAACAAAGTTTTGTTTTTTTATTTAAGTAACAAACACATTTTCTTTAAATATATTTATTTTTGAACTAGAACTTAGTAGTAATATGTTATTATAAACTTGACTTGTTTAAGAGCTCATTTAGTCTCCTATAAAATAAATTATATTGTTTAAAAGAGAGTTCACTAAATAGACCCCAACAGCTGTATTTAATTTTTGTCATAAAATATATAAAAAATATATTGCAAATAAATTTTAACTTTAATGTATGAAAAATATTAGCTTGGTGTGTAATATTTTATTTCTTTTTTAATTTAATTTTGGAGTTTTTCCAATCTTTTTTCTTCAATTAATTAAAAAATGAATTTATAAACAAATAGAAAGTATATATTTGTTACTTTTCAGGTCTGATTGTTTTAAAATAATTTCTTTAAATATTCGCCTAAGCCATAAACTGTGATTTAGTCATCTTTGCTTGACAGTTATGTTATTGTCTAATGCTTGAAGCAGTTTTTATCCTTGATGGTCTTTAGTTCTGATACAAGATTTACCACATTCTTGTGTCATAGTAAATTATAAACTCGTGCAAATGATCAATTTGTGTAGGTATGCTGCGAACAAGTCCATGGAGAGTTGCGCCTTTTGCAATGCTGATGGAGATTTCTTAATAGTTCCACAAACAGGAAGTATTGATTTGTTACTCTGTTGCACATTCGTTTGTTGATTTGCTGCATGAATCATTATTCAATTATTGAGGTTGCCCATTTCTTTTTTCTTGTCTCCTCAATATTGTCTATCTGTGAGGTGGTAGAAATTAGTCGAGTTTTTAATATTAACATAAACTGTAGCATAAATTCAATAATATGGACAAGCTAACATGAAATAACTTCAAGTGGGATATGTTTAGATTACTATTAATTTTCAGCTAAGCTGCGCAATACTACTGTATATCGTCTAATGGTAAAAATCTTCAAATAGACATTGGTTTTGTAATACTCCTATTGAAGATTCTTTAGTTATCGGTTAAAATGCTACTTCCTTTTAGTTGGAGTTTTTAAGGTTGTAAGGTGGAAGTAACATCTGTAAAGATAAGGAAATGAAGGGAAGAAAAAGGATTAGGAGTCGTTTGTAGTTTCTCCATACAGAGTTTCTCTATTAGAATACGCCAATCTTTTCCTTTTTTATCCAATCTTCGTCTCCTTAACATTTCCAGGATTGTGGATTACAACTGAATGTGGAAGGCTGCAGGTCTCTCCGGGTGAAATAATTGTTGTTCCACAAGGGTTCCGATTCTCTGTTGGCTTGCCTGATGGTCCATCACGTGGTTATGTTGCTGAAGTTTTTGGAACTCACTTTCAACTCCCTGATCTTGGTCCTATTGGTACAGTTTTTTATTAGCTTTTGTTAAAAATTTTCACCTTTTAAGCTCCCTTTAAACTGTGTTCAATTTCATCTAAATGCTATTATAGGTGCTAATGGGCTAGCCTCTCCAAGGGATTTTTACGTTCCCACAGCTTGGTATGATGATGATGATGCTCATGTTGGTTACACAATCATCCAGAAGTTCGGTGGCAATCTGTTCACTGCAAAACAAGATTTTTCTCCGTTTAATGTGGTTGCTTGGCATGGAAATTATGTGCCATATAAGGTATTTGGTATATTTATGCTCACCTCCTTAATTTAGCCCACCGAAGTCTGCTTTTAGATTCTTTTTATTATGTTAAATCATGATTTCCTTTCTATATTGCAGTCTCATTAATGAGATTCATTGGACTTATGCTTTGTTATCAATCATAACTCATCTTGTCAACAAATTCTGTCCAACAGCAACAGCAACAATAGCAACAAGACTTTATCCCACTAAGTTGGGTCAGCTACATAAATCTTTTTTCTCTATTGCATCCTATTGAGTGTCATATTTTCATTGAATTCTTAATAAATTAAGATCATTTTTTATACAATATGCCCAAGTCCTTTTAGGTCTACCTCTATCTTTCTTAACAAAAGTTGAATCTAAAACATCTACTCTCCTAACACTCAACTAATTTTATCTAGTGGAGAATAAATTAATTAATGAAGTGTTAAAGAATGAACCTCTTTCAGTCATTTATCTCCATAGAAATTGTGTGTCCAAACTTGCAACAGATGTGAAGGCTTTGGTAAGCAAGGCTTGCATAAGAACATCTTTTTATCACTTAGGGGATTTTTGTAGCGACTTTTAATAGGACTTATCACTAGATTTACTTACTCTAATCATGAATTATTGGATTTTGTAGCCCCAATTTTGCCTTCGAGTCAGCTTAAATCCAGATTTACTGAACCTAGGGGTTGGGTGAATTTATGGATTTACTAAATCCTACTAACTCTAAACCATACTTGCAGCCAAACAGCCCCTTAAAGTGGTTTATTTTGCAATGCAAGTTTCTTTTTCTTGTGATTTTTTTTCTAAGTGTTTTAAAGTAGATGGAATGCTCTATTTACAGCCTAGAGAACCAGTTTAAAACCACTTCCAACAAAACTAAATCCTTTGAACTTATTCTAAAAGTTCTTTTTGATTAAAATATACGAAAATAATTTTTATAGGTGGAGTAAAGAGATGGAGGGTCCTAAAAGGAGTTTATAGACTTTTATAAAGTGAAGATATTTAGTAACAATATCAAAACAGTTTTTGGGGATCCACAAATTTGTCTACTAGGATCCATTATCATCTCAAACCATCTGTAAACTTGTTTTGTGGATTATGTTTATTATTATTTTGTATACATGTATAAGTATGGTGCATACCCTCAAACCTCTGTATGCGCATCATAAATATGAATACATATGCATAAATTTATTATAAAAAAGAATATATTGATGTGATCACTAGCTAATTGATTTCGATGCAAGCTTTGCTTGAATTGGCTTGAAGATTAATTCTGATTTAGAAAGGAGTCTTGCATTTTAAGGGGGTCGTTGTTAATTTTAATATAGTTTCAAGTTAGGCTTATAGGAGTAGGACATGAATTCTGTCATTTAAAAAAAAAAATTATTTCCTATAGGTGGTAGAACGGACCAAACTAAATAGTTTATGATAATTAAAATTTCTTTTACTAATTCAAAGTGCAGAAAAATAAAATAAATTAAATTAAAATAAAAACTTAGTTTCATAAAGGATTGTGCAAGAAATCTTGAGCCAAGGATAGTCTTAATCTAAAAATCACATCAAGGCCTACAAAAAATGACTCAAATTAATTTCGAATGCACGTCTTCATGTCATGAATCTATTACATCGAAAATTGTGTTGATTTGGTCCAAATATACTTATTCATTGAATCATGCATAAAAAAATGTGTTCAAGCTTACATGAAAATATGTATCAAATCTTAATCTTGCAACGCTTAATGTAATATGTCTGTGATCATCAAACTGAATTCATCTACCCGAAGGGCTCATAGGTTCAACATCTTCAATAAACTCAGAACTAGAGTATATTCCTTGGTTATCATGCTGTTCGGGTGGATATAAATTCATTGACATCAACATAATTTCACTCCCAGGTACACTCCCAGCATGATATGATAAATAATAACAACTATAGCAGAGGCCAATAATACCAGATGTTTGAAAAAGAAAGAGCTGCATTATTATTACAAAACTGCCTGAGCATAAGTTAAATTGTGATAATCGAGCAACTGAAAGCATTTCTTACAGGTTCAAACTGTGTAGTTTACTGTGTATTCAGAAAAATTAATAGATCAATTATTGAAACTGCTTGTTGCCATCTAGAAACCATACATGATTCTGTAGAAAGGAAAATTGGGTTCAGCAACTACCTTTCTGGATTTGCTGTGACCACATGGAATTGAATCCAGTACTATCCAAATTCCACAAATTGGAATGGTGCTTAAACTTACTGTCAGATGTGGACATGATTGAAAAATAGAGTGTTAATTAGATTGATTCTGGGGGGCATATGCTTGGGCTTGTTAGACTTTATAAAAGTAAAATTGGTGACAAAATTTTCTTATGTCTCATTTCTTCATCCTCTTACACAACCTTTATGGCATGAAAACATATTTTTATTTGAGTTTTGAAACTAGGAAAACTTTCAGGGTTTTTCAAATCTTGCACCTCAAATGCTCTACCTTGAGCTTCTCCGTTGAGCAGCAAGCATGCACTTAACAGTAATCCAAAACATAGGACAGTGCAACTGTGCAAAAAAAAAGAAGCTCACTTCCCATCAACGTAATGCTAAAGTCTTTTTATTGTTCCACCATGCGTGGATTATGGACTTCACAGATGCATGATGAAATTTATATTTGCTTCTGGATTGTGCTTGAACTGTTAAAGGTGGGCCTCATGCTGTAAAGAAAAACCGACAACTTCATAAACTCCGTTCAATTCTTTTTCTTGTCTGCTATATTATGTTATTGTTTTCGTTTACTGAATATATCAACCAATATAACGTTACGCATGCAAAATCTCTATCTGGTGATCCGAATTGACTGCTCACTTTGATTGTTATCAACATCGCATTATTGTCATGTTGAAATGCTGATTGAACTCATACAATCGCATAATATTGCCATACAATCCTAGGTACTCTGACAATTTTCCTGTGCCGCAATTTTTTATTTCTATTTATAACATGGACGTGACATTCATTTTTGTTCCAGTATGATCTCAACAAATTTTGTCCGTTCAATACAGTATTGTTTGATCATGGTGATCCCTCGATTAACACAGGTAGCTTCAATCAATTGACCTTTTTAAAGTTGTCTATTTTGAATTAAATCCTCCTAAAACTGACTAAAAACATAAAGTACATAAAGAAGAAGAATATAATGAAAATAAAAGGGCTAATCCTCTGTCTTTTTTCTAACTTCCACCATCTTCGCTATTATTGTTTGGGCTTCTAACTCATCTATCTTCTGATGCAGTGCTGACAGCTCCAACTGATAAGGCTGGCGTTGCTTTACTTGATTTTGTCGTCTTTCCGTCCCGTTGGGTAGCTGCTGAACACACATTTTGCCCTCCCTATTATCATCGCAATTGCATGAGCGAATTCATGGGCTTGATAAATGGTAAATATGAGGTAAATGTCTTCCTTACCTGCCGAGTCTTCATTTTTTGTATTATCATTTATTTAGGCTAAAAAAATAATCTGAGTACAGAACAGTACAAGGTAATACAGATGAAAAATTCATATGCAGCATACAAAAACTATAAGCTAAAGATCTTTATGCATGCGCTGATGACAAGCTTTATATTTCTTATATAGGCAAAGGCGGAGGGCTTTCTCCCTGGAGGGGCTACCATTCATGCATGCATGACGCCCCATGGACCTGACAATGCGACATATGAGGTCATATTCTTAAGCCATTCTGTGAAAAAAAAAGGAAAATTTACATACATACCACGTAATTCCTATGTAATTACATATGTAGACACCTCAACTTAAATTTTTACTTATATATCACCTGAACTGTGCTTGAAAAGGTGTATTTCATCTTTTAAAAGGTAAAATAGTGATATTTTGATGTGGTACGAAAGATTTGGGTGATTTAAATATAAAAAAAGTGATGTTTAGGTGTTAGATATGTAAAGACTAAAAATCATGTAGTATGCATGTAAATGCCTTCTTTATTCTGAAAGAAAATGTTATTCTGCATTTGTTTCCTAACATTACAGAAGGCGATAGAACGCGGCGAGGATGCGGGGCCTTACAAAATAAAGGATACCCTCGCATTCATGTTCGAGTCTTCGCTGCTTCCACACATCTGCACTTGGTCTCTGGAGTCTCCTTGTAGGGATGCTGACTACTACCAGTGCTGGATTGGTTTAAAATCTCACTTCTCCGCAGAAAATGGAGGGAAATTTGTCTAGTTTGGATACAGGGCCATTAGGATGTGATGCAGGCCTATATGGTGTGAGTGTGTATATAACGCATTACCAGTTCTTCAAATGATGCTGATCTCAGATTCTAGACGTAAAATGTCGGTTTGAATCGCATGCTTAGCTGATATCTTAGTGATTGCTAAAATAAAGTTCAGGAGCAGATGCTAGATAAATTATGAGAAATTGTATTTATGTATTGTTTTTTATAGTGCATTATGTCACAAACCTTTTCAAATGCCCTGTGAGTTAAATTTTTTTTAATTGTTTTTTTTATTAGGATATTTGAGTAATTTTTTTACACTTATTGACATCCATTAATTTCTTTGGCCATGTGATGGGCAAAGAGAAACCATTTGATTTTGCTTGGCTGGAAGTGGCTAGTTTTTATTTTATTATTATTATTTTATTTTTCTGAATAAAAATGGCCGTAAGCAGTTCTTTTGGCTATTATACAGAAAACTGTAAGGTTTAGAAATCGCAAAAATATTACATCAGTGCTACGCACGTAGAGTAACACGACACCCTACGCGACAAAAAAAAAAAACGGCGCGGTAACACGGGGAATATTCCCCCTGTGTTATTCATGTGTTATTGTGCCCCTCCCTCTCTCCCGTGTTATTGATGTGTTATTGTGTTATTATAACACCAAGAATATTCTCAGGACACAATAACACCAGAATAACAAGGGGGAATATTCTTGACAGAGAAAAAAACGGCACGGTAACACGGGGAAATATTCCCTCCATGTTATTCATGTGGTATTGTGTATTATTCATGTGTTTTTGATATATTATTGTGTTATTATAACATGTTACCGCACTTTTTTTTTTCTGTCGCGTGGGGTGTCGTAGTGTGATTTCATTGACCACGCCCAACCTAATTTTCAATTATGCAATTATTTATATAATTTATTTAGTCGCACATCATAAGAGAAATATCACATTCAATATTTTAAATAATAAGGAAATAGCCTTAAACTTGGAAGTTTGTAGCTCGCTTGATGGGTACGTTGGTTATTTGTATGATTATAATTTTTTATCATATACAAGACATTCTAAATTTTACTGAAATTAAAATATTATATTATAAACTCCATAAACTTATTTTAATCACTAAATCTGACATGAAATTGATTGATTCAATAGTTCATTAGATAGACTGTTGGTTCTTATGAGTTTCGACTGGTTCGATGTTGAGCCAAATTTTTTAGGACCATTTGAAAGGCTGTGTAACCAATTCCTAGTCAAACTATTTAATGAGGCCATTCCGATTCAATTTATAAAACCTTGATAAAAATGCTAAAATGAACCAAAAATAATTGAGCATCCAATCTATTTTTAAAACCTTAGAAAAATCTTTCAAAATTATCCAATTATATTTGAACAACTTCTTGAAATATTGTACATTAAAACAAGTGAAAAAAAATGGAGAGGGGGGAAATTAGAAAAGGAAAAGTTATAATGGAAAAGATTAAGGGTTAGCTTGAGGTATTTTTTGATAATTTTCATTTTTAAATAACAATTAATCATATTTGGCTATTAATAATTATTTTTTCTTTTTTTCTCTTTTTTTTCTAGCTAAAAATAAGTTCTTGCTATTAAATTTTGTTAGTATGGTGGCATGGTAAGAAAGTAAACTATAATTTTAAGGCAATGCTGAGTAATTAAGTTAAAGGGGATTCTAATATTGTTGTCTTAGAAATATGGTCAATTTATACATTGCGATAGTTATTTTTTATAAATTTTTAAAAATATAGTAAATTTAGGGATATTGCTTTCTGTATTGTTCTCTTATAGCCTAACAAAAGGCTTTGCCCTTTCTCTCCAAAGTTCACCGCTCCACTTCTTCCTCTCCCTTCTAATAAAGTCCGATATTCCATTTTGTAAATTTTTTTTTTTTTTTGAGCTTACATTATAGATGTGGCAATTTGGATGCATTTATGATTGAAGTTTTCATCACTCCAATAATAACTGGGATGAATTCATCTCTAATCAAAGTTCTATTTCTAAAAGCTCTCCCTTGAATACCACTTTTGATGGCACTCATTAAGCTTTGTTAGTTGTCTTTAGGATACATTACTATATGTTGTTTCTGTTTTGCCTCGATCATTGACCCATTTATCACCCTAATAGATACACCCTACCATATCAAATGCAAATTATGTTTACAAAACCCTTAAGAGATTATGCAAACCCTACGGCGGATGAACTTTATTGTAGTATTCAAAAAATTGCTGTAGTGGTTAATTTTTTTGAACTTAAACCTACTATTATCCAAATGATATCAAATAATCAGTTTGAGGGAGCACTAACTGAAGATCCAAATTTACATCTTGCCAATTTTCTAGAATTATGTACTACATTTAAATATGATGGTGTATCAGATGATGCTACCTTTCTCACTGAGGGATAAGGCTAAGATATGGTTACATTCATTAGCACTTGGATCATCAGAACTTGGGGTGATTTAGCTCAGAAATTCCTTGCTAAATATTTTCCGCTATAAAAAATTGTGAAGTTTAGAAATGATATTATATCTTTTTTTTTAGTTTGAAGGAGAATCAATTTATGAAGCATGTGAACAATTTAAAGAACTACTGAGAAACTGCTCGCACCATGCTATACCAGATTGGTTAATAATTCAAACATTTTACAATTGATTAGCTGGATCTCTTAGATCTATTATCGATGCCGCAGCTAGTGGTTCATTGATGTCAAAACTATTTCATGACGCTTATGCTTTAATTAAAGAGATGGCTACCAATAATTTTCAATGGCCTTCTAAGAGGGTAAATCCTAAGAAAGTAGTCAATATTCACGAATTTAATGTTTTTGCAATTTTAACAAATCAAGTTGCTACAATTTCAAGAAAGTCAGACCAATTAGAAATGATTTTTTCTCATCTAGTTGCAATTATTGAAGAGAATTCATTAGGCCAAATGGTAGATTATCAAGTATCATTAGAAACTTTGAATGCCATAAACAACAAGCAGAATAATATATGTTCAAACTATTATAACCCAGGTTGGAAGAACCATCATAACTATAACTAGAATAATATTTTGGGTGGTAATAATCAGCATTGGGGAACAACAAATTAAACCCATTGGGAAACTGGAACAACCAAGATAACTATCAAGGAAATAGTAATTATAGACTTACTTATCCTCCATGTTTTAATATTAATCCACAATTCAAGGAGAAAAAGTTGTCTATAGAAGTGGTGTTACAAATGGAAAATTAGTTACAAAGTCAATGAGCTACAATTAGAAATATTGAGAATCAATTGGGGAAAATAGCAAATTCATTAAGTAATAGATACCAAGGAACACTTCATAGTAATACATATGTAAATCCAAAAGACCAAAATAAAGAGCAAGTAAAAGTCGTTCAAATTAGAAGCGGAAGAGAATTGGAAGGTAGAGTTCAAAAAGAGAGTGAAGTAGGGAGAGAAGAAATTGAAGAGCCTGAAGAGGACTGTTGACCACACTTTTGGTTGAGGTCTAGCTCTTCCTATTTAGTAGCCTAAGGTTTAGCCATAGGACTTTCCTGTTGACTATTCCTAGAAGACTAGAAAAGGAACTCTCACAATTAGAAATTCTACACTCTTCTCTGCTCAACTTGAAGTTCCACATAATGGTCCTAACCTCTAGCACTTAGTAGGTGGGGACAGTATGGAGGAGCTCAAGGGGAGTCTCTCATAGGATGGTCAAACCCTAGGACAAACTCTGGGTGGTTTGTTTTTAGTTAGACTAGCTTGCACACACTTTCTTACATACCCCAAACCCTAAGACCCCTTTAATTTTATCTCATGACTCCTTTTGGGAAGCTCATGTGGATGGACCCAAGCCCCTAGTCCTTGGCTAAGAGGGTTAGGACCAACATATTGAACATCCAAAATGAGTCCTCATTTGGGTCCTATTGGTTTGGCATGGTTTCATGGCTTACTTGCCCATTCTAGCCCAAAATCACCAAATTACCAAAATACCCATACAACCCTAATTTTTGCCAAAAACCCCAAAATTACCCAAAATACCCAAATTTCTCAAAAATTAATCTCAAATTACTCACCACTAACTAAATTGACCAAAATTCACAAAAATCACCAAATTCCCAAAATTACCAAATATACCAAAATGCCCCTCATGACCCAAAAATTCAAAAAATTCTCAAAATTCCAAAATTATCCCAAATATTCCCAATTTCAATTTTTAACCATCACATTGACCCAATTTGAGCAATTTTACCCAATCTGACCAAAAGCTCCAAATTACCCTTAAAGACTCAAATTTCCCCAATTTACCCTCAATCTTGGCCCAATTGACCTCAATCTTGCCCAATTTCAATTTAAAACCAAAATTCAACATTCCTAATACAAATTGAAACCAAATATAAGCTCAATTTATCCCAATTACAAGCTCAATTTCGCCCAAATAAAAAGCCCCATTTTGACCATATGTTTAAATTCACCAAATTAGCCTTCCAATTCAATTCAAAATCACTTAAAATTCTTTCCAAATTCCTCATGACATATCTCTACACCAAATTCAACATTAATTAATCCAAATTTTAGCCCAAATTAAACCTTTAACAAAAAATCCCAAGCCCACCATGTTTGATTCCAAAAGTCCAAATTCAATTAAAAGCCCACATAATAATTTTCTCCCTCATCATCCATTTCATTAAAATCACTCCCTAAGTCTTAAGTCCATGATCAAATCATTCCAAATCAAGCCTCATGGAAAACACCACCAAAATATCTCCTAAAATTAAAAATCCATTCTCATGCAAAAGAGCCAAGCCAAAGGAAAGCCATGAATCCATTCCCAAGCCATAGGTGAACCATATGAGCCTTGCCACCTCATCAAGCTATTAATGGCAAGAGGGAAAAACCACTTTCAAGAACCCTTAAGGTTCTTTTAACCCCTCCCATGAATAACTCTAACCCATGTTTAGTCAAACCTCTTTGGATAGTGACTTATCCCCAATGATTAAGCTCAGTCAAATGATCTTTTCTTCTGCCCAAACCAACCTTGATGGGTGAACCCAACCCAAATTAATGTCTTGACCTAAATTGACCCAAAATGACCCTTACATCATTCCTCTTTAATCCAAGATCTTTAC